AGGATCTTTCATTGATTTTTCAACAGAAGGCGAATCATTAACAGGTCTTTAAAAAAAGAAGAACCATTAACAACTCTTTAAGAAAAGGAAGATCTTTATCAGGTCTTCTACAGATAAAATACCTTTTACAGGTCTTCTACAAATAGAAGATGTCGTCTACAAAGTTAGGACCATTAACATGTCTTCAAGAGAAGAAGATTTTTTAACAGGTCTTCAACAGAAGAAGAACTTTTAACAGCTTTTTGACAGAATGAGGACCTACTACAAATAGAACATGTCGTCTACAAAAGGAGGACCTTTTATGAATCTTCTACAAAAGGTGGGCCATTAAAAGTTTTTCAACAGAAGGAGGACCATTAACAAGTTTTCAACAGAAGGAGAATCTTTAACTGGTCTTCAACAGAAGAAGAACTTTTAACAGGTCTTTTACAAATGAAGAACTTTTAACAGTTTTTGACAGAATGAGGACCTTTAAAAGGTTCTACAAAAGGAGGACCTTAAACAGGCTTTTTAAAAGAAGGAGGACCTTCAACCAGGTTTCCATAGAAACCCGGAAGAATAAGAACCTATAACAGCTCTTTAAGAGAAGGCGGACCTTTGTCAGGTCTTCTACAGATAAAAGACCTTTAGCAGGTCTTCTATAGAAGGAGGATCTTTAACAGATCTTCTGCGGATAAAAGACCTTCAATACTTCTTTCACTTCTGCCAACTCACCTCGTGTATTTTTTGGCAGATTTGAGTCGATAGGCCATAAATTTTGTCAAGTTTATTTACAGATTGATGTCTGATCTTACAGATGGATAACTTGAGTTTGGTAAATGCTTGACAGAACATGTTTAAAATTGACACGATTTATTGACCACATACGTAGTGTATTTCAGTATGTCCACTATTATACCAATCACATACTAGATCCATGTGGTAGGAATCAAAGAATTGTTGCTAACTTTTTTCCATTCATGAACGTCAATAATTGAAAAATAAATTTTTGTTTTGTTTATTTATTTTTATTCATTCGATCCGAACTTGTTTGTGATCTGGGCAATTTGCAAAAACCAAATCAAAGCCAAACAAATAAACTAAGCGCCATATAAAAAGCAAACACGAATGTGTGTTGTATTGAAATGTTTGTTTTACATTCAATATCTTTGTCTGTCTACCGGCCGGCTGTCGGATTGTCTTGCATGCATGATAGTTGTCATTTTGATTGAGGGCAAGTGTGTCAGCATAAAAACATTCCAAATGTAGGGGGGAAATTGAGACGGACAGCTTAAGATCTTTGTGTCATTGTCCGATATTGGTGAGCACGCACACACACCCACCTCCCCCCCAAAAATAAAATACCGGCAGTGGGTTTGGTTCGTCATGTCAGATTGTGTTGTTCTTCTTGTTTTCCTTTCTTCAAAAACACAACAAGAACTTTCAGAATCCATTTAAGAAACCTTCAATGAAATGAAAGGCTTCTGGCGAACATACAAATTTCTGGACAGCCATGAAAAGTGATCAATCAATTTGGTTGGGTGGCAGGCAAAAGAAGACAAATTCTTGTAAACACACATACATACCTATTTCCACATGTGTGTGTGTGTGGGTACATGGGATTTAAATTGGAAATTATAATGAATTAAGATTTTATGGCATCATAATACTTTTCCGCATTGCATTTAAAAAAAAATAAAGAGTGTCTTATCGCTACTCAGTTGCAGCATGTTGCATCAAACCCAAATGTTAATTCCTGTAAGCTAAAGTGCCGTGTCAAATCGATCATCGATTATTTTAGGGGATTTAAATTCCGGGAAGATGTTGTGAAAAGTTTTAACATGAACTGTGTTCATTTCTTTTCAAACCGACTGTGATGAATGATGTTGGGCAACAATTTTTGAAAATAATTCGATATTGGGAGACCCAAAAAGAAAGAGTGACTTCTTATCAAGAATCGATGTACTACTCCACTATTAATGGAGGAATAATGAGGAACTAACCAAGTGAGGTTTGTTGGCATCAAATTTTAACAAAAACACCAAGATAGGACTTGGTATCGAAGGCTGGTCACGAGGTAGCCAAAATAGTTTAAAGGGAGTTTTTAAGCATAAAGGGTGAGAAGAAAAAACCACAACCAACTTCAGACTGTTGTAATTTCAAAACCACTCGTCCGACAGCTTTTAAAATTATTCCAGTGACAGCTCATTATGTTGTTTACAAGCATAACAAGTTAAAAAGCAGTAAGTTCGGCCGGGACGAATTTGGAAATTTTCAAATAATAAAATCCCTTAAAAATTCTTTTAAAATCTTAAAAATACCGTATACAACCATTATATTGGGGTCTATACGACGTGGACCCACATAGGCAATGTTTGTTATAAGCCATTACCATATTATTAACGGTAAATAAAGTAGCATCATCAAAATACCGTATATAGGTTGGTACCGTTATATCGGAGCTATACGAAGACTGGACCTGCATAGACAAGTTCTCTCACAGGCTGTAGCATCCATTACGAACTTCAAATACGACATCCTAAACAAGTAATGTGAGTATTGCACCTCAAATCATCAAAATACCGAATATAGGGAGGTACTGATATATGTCACCTATACGAAGACCTGGACCTGCACAGACAATTTTCTGTCATAGGCTGTAGTATCCATTACGAATCTCAAATACCAAATTTGGAACAACTGCGGAGAATAATGTCCCTAAAATCATCAAAATACCGAATATAGGGAGGTACCGTTATATGGGGGCTATATGAAGACGTGGACCTGCATAGACAATTTACTGTCTTAGGCTGTAGTATCCATTTCGAATTTCAAATACCAAATTTGAAACAATTCCGGTGAATAATGTCGCTAAAATCATAAAAATACCGAATATCTAGAGGTACCGTTATATAGAGGCTATACGAAGACGTGGACCTGCCCAGATAATTTTCTATCATAGACTGTAGTATCTATTTTGAACTTCAACTACCAAATTTTAAACAATTCCGGTGAATAATTTTGCTGTTATATGGGGGCTATATGAAAACGTAGACCTACATGACCCATTTACGAACTTAACCTGCCTACTGGGAAAATAAACACGTTTAACCTTCTATACCAATTCGTTCGAAAGATAACGTGATTACAACAGACAGACAGACGGACATCGCTAAATCGACTTAGAATTTTATGCTGATCAAGAATATATACACTTTGTTGGGTCTGTCATGAGTATTTCGAGGAGTTACAAACGGAATGACAAAGTTAATATACCCTCCATAGTATGGTGGAGGGTATAAAAATAAAGGTTGAAAATCAGTTATATTCCCCCAGAAACGACTGAATTATTGGAAGAAAGAATATGTAATTTTTTTCGGAGGTAGCACCGATGCCCGGCATATTCACTTTACCGGGTATTTTTTTGACCTGTTTCCCATAACTTCTTGTTCCTTTTTCTTTTTTCATATCCCAATATCACACCTATTTTTACAGGCTACCTCAAACGTGGATTTTTAAAGAATATGTTTTCATACTCCACCATCAGACATTCAACCATGGATTTGTTTAGGAATTGTCTTTCATACTCCAACTTCAGACCTTCAAACGTAGATTTCTTTGAAGATTTTTTCATCATATTTTCGTGAATTTTTTGATTTTTTCATACCCCAGCATCAGACCTTCAAAACGTTAACTTTTTAAAGATTTGATTTCATATCCCAACATCAAACCTTCAAACGTGGAGTTTTTAAGACTAATTTTACCGGCTACCTCAGACCTTCAAACGAGGATTTTTTAAAGAATATGTTTTCATACCCCAACCATTAAACGTAGATTTTTTTAGGAATTGTCTTTCATACTCCAACATCAGACCTTCAAATGTGGATTTATTTTAAAAGTATTCTTTCATACCCCAACATTGGGCCTTCAAGCGTGGATTTTTTACAGAATATTTTTTCATAACCCAACATAAGACCTTCAAACAGAGATTTTTTCATACCCCAGCAGCAGATTTTTAAGGATATTTTTCATACCCCAAACATCAGACTTAATAACTGGTAGGACAAAATGTGAATTTTGTAGCATGGTAGCACCCTTGACGGGCGTATTAACATTTTCCAAAACAGACCCGAAAATTGCATTCCAGCCACTCTATTTCCCAGACCCTGGTTGCCCATAACGTATCGCTTTGCATAAATTAAGTAATAGCGGAATGAATGTGTGCCATTATCTGGAATTCCAAGTTTTAATTGATTAATATTTTTCAATCTGTTCAATTAAAAAAATGTACTACTTAATTTATTTAAATACAAAGTAATTTCCGTTATCAGTTATTTTTAGCTAAATAATGTATAATACATTATTTGCTACGTTGTTGCTGTTGTTGCCTGTATACGACAAATATTAAATTGTAACTAAATTGACATATTGTGTAAAATAACTCAGTCTCCGATGTTGTAATTGATTAAGTTGCCTTGGTTCATTTGGCAGTTTAATGGTTGGCTGACACCACCGGTATTACCCCTATCAACATCTGCACCCAGTTTCAATGATCGGATCACACTGTTGCCTGGTAAGCAGTTTTTTTCTCTCCCTCTCCACTACACATCAAAGCCATTCCATTTATGTTGTAGACTGAATTTTAAGATTAGATTTCAATCACCGGATTGCATTCGAAATTCTAACTGGATTATTGCAAATTGTTTTGCATACAGTCGAACATGGTTACAATGGACTTGTATTGTAAAAATATTTTATTTTTCACCAACCATTGTTTGTTGTCCATCATACTTGTACTCGACTGTTCGCTGTCCATTCGAACTGAGCTGCATAGTAATTTGTATGTGGAAACGTGATTGTTGTCTTAATTGTGCCAAGTGTTTTAATTGGTACGCAAAATTATAATAATAAAATCATCAATTAAATACTCCTACAAAATGCTATGTATGTTGTTGTACTTTGTTCAGACATTAATGCAGTTTGCATATCAATGTGACAAAAACAAGTGTGTAATTACTCACCTCTTATGGCAAAGCAGGAATATTTCTTGGGGGTTTAAATTAATACCTGAAAAAAGAAGAAAATATTTTTAGTTAACTATGTTCGAAATTTACATAAAATGGGTGGCCTAAAAATTATTATTTTTTCTTTCATAATATATGGATTTTTTATTAGATTTTTTTTTAAAGATTATCTTTTAAACCCCAACATCAGACCTTAAAACGTGGATTTTTTAAGGAATTGTCTTTCATACTTCAACATCAGGCCTTCAAACGTGGATTCAGACTTTCAAACGTGGATTTTTTAGGGATTTTCTTTCATACTTAAACATCAGGCCTTCAAACGTGGATTCAGACTTTCAAACGTGAATTCAGACCTTCAAACGTGGATTTTTTAAAGAATGTTTCGTACCCCAACATCAAACCTTCAAACGTGGATTCAGAACTTAAAACATGGATATTTTTAAAGAATTTTCTTTCGTACCCCACCATATAATCTTTGAACGTGGATTCCTTAAAGATTTTGTCCGACCTTGAAACGTGGATTTTTTAAAGAATACTTTTTTATACCCCAATATCAGAACTCCAAACGCGAATTTTTAAAGAATACTTTTTCATACCCCAATATCAGACCTTCAAACGTGAATTTTTTAAAGAATACTTTTTCATTCCTCAACTATAGACCTTCAAACGTGGATTTTTATATTCTCCACCATACTATATATTAATTTTATACCCTCCACAGGGTATATTAATTTTATCATTCCGTTTGTAACTCCTCGAAATACTCATGTCAGACCCAACAAAGTATACATATTCTTGATCAGCGTAAAATTCTAAGACGATTTAGCCATGTCCGTCTGTCTGTCTGTGTGTCTGTCTGTCCGTCTGTCTGTTGTAATCACGCTATCTTTCGAACAAATTGAGATAGAAGGCTAAAATTTTGCACACATGTATATTTTGCCAGTAGTTAAGTTCGTAAATGGGCCATGTAGGTCCAAGTTATCATATAGCCCCCATATAACGGTACCTCCTGATATTGGGTTTTTTGATGATTTTAGCGACATTATTCACTGGAATTGTTTCCAATTTGGCATTTGAAGTTCGTAATGAATACTACAGCCTAAGACAGAAAATTATCTGTACAAGTCCACGTCTTCGTATAGCCCCCATATAACGGTACCCCCCGATATTCGGTATTTTGATGATTTTAACGACGTTATTTACCGGAATCGTTTCAAATTTGGTGTTTGAAGTGCGTAATGGATACTACATCCTAAGTCAAAAAATGAGCCATGTAGGTCCACGTCTTCATATAGCCCCGATATAACGGTACCCCCCCCCCCCCCCCCCCCCCCCCCGATATTCGGTATTTTGATGATTTTAGCGACATTATTTACCGGGATTGTTTCAAATTTCGCATGTGAAGTTGGTAATGCCTTCGCCTTCGTATAGCCCCTACATAACGGTACCTCCTATATTCGGTATTTTGATGATTTTAGCTACATTATAAATAGATTTTTCTTCAGGTTTCGCATTTAAATATTGTAATAACTTATGACAAAAGTTGCTTATGCAGGTCTACGTCGTCGTATAGGCATTCGGTATTTTTAAGATTTAAACAGAATTTTAAACGGCCGAACTTACAGCTTTTTTACTTGTTTAAATAATACTTTACGTTTTCATATCCCAGCAACAGACCTACAAAATTGGAGTTTTTAAAGGATTTTTTTATACCCCATCTAATCGTTGATTTTTTTAAGGAATTGCATTTAATACTCTAACGTGGATTTTTAAGGAAATTTGGCTAATACCCCAACATCAGACCTTCAAACGTGGATTTTTTTAAAGAAAATTTGCTCATACCCCAATACCAGACCTTCAAACGTTGATTTTTTAAAGAAAATTGGCTCATACCCCAACATCAGACATTCAAACGTGGATTTTCTAAAGAAAATTTGCTCATACCTCAACATCAGACATTCAAGTGTGATTTTTTTTAAGAAAATTCCTCATACCCCAATATAAGAACATCAAACTTTGATTTAAAAAAAAAAAAAAATGGTTATACCCCAATACCATAACTTCAGACATTGATTAAAAAAAAAAAAAAACAGATTTTCAAACATTAATTTTTTAAACAAAATTTGATTATACCCCAACATCAGAACTTCAAACTTGAATTTTTTAAAGAAATTTTGTTCATCTTTTTTTAAAGAAATTTTGCTCATACTCCAACATCAGACCTTCGAACGGGTATTTTTTTAAAGAAAATTTGCTCATACCCTAATATTAGACCTTCAAGCATGAATTTTTTAAAGAAACTTTGCTCAAACCCCAATATCAGTCCTTAAAACCTGGATTTTATAAATAAATGTTGCTCATACTTCAACATCCGACTTTCAAACGCGGATTTTTCAAGAAAATTAGCTCATACCCCAATATCAAACCTTCAAACGTGGATTTTTTAAAGAAAATTTGCTCATACCCCAACATCAAACCTTCAAACGTGGATTTTTTAAAGAAAATTTGCTCATACCCCAACATCAGACCTTTAAACTTGGATTTTTTAAAGAAAATTAGCTCATACCCCAACATCACACCTTCAAACGTGGATTTTTAAAAGAATATTTTTTATCAACTCTTTAGGAGTGTTGTCTTTTAGCTTCAACATTTACCCGATGGTATCCTCAATATCGAACTAGCTTCAAACAACGTCATCTCCATTTTTTTCTGGTCCATTCAACAACGTTGTTAAAGAAAATAATAATTGTAAAATTTCAATTGTATAAATATTTACGAAATAGGAAAACTGTCAATAAAACAAACAATCATTATTCCAAAGGTTTGTTTTTTTTTTTTTTTTTTTTGGTTTTAGTTTTGGTTTTGGATGCAGCAGTATGCCAAGAGATCGTCTTGCCATTGTGTGTCCACCAAGCAGTAGCTACCAACCAGCAGCATCTATAAATAGGGACCATCAGTGTAAACGGTCCTCGGTCTTGGGTGCAAAAATGCTTTTTTTTTTATTAACTTTTGCATTTTATGCATAATGCCAGCCAATGACAACACAGCTATGTACACAAAGATGATGAAGAAGAGGATGATGGTGGCGGCGATGATGATGATGGCGATGACTGCATCATAAATTATTCGGGCATTCCACTCACTGCTAAGCTCATTCGTCCCATGGTCTGTTCATTTGCTCCATTCATTCATTTATTCAGTCAGTCAGCCAGTCGTCAGTTTGTCTTTCGTCAGACAGATAGTCAATTTCAAATAGTTTCCATGCACCCACAACAGTCAGTCAACAAACCCGGCAAACGGTTTTCAAGAAAAATATGGTCATTGAGTTGGATGTCTATCTCGCCTCGTTGATATGGCTGGCAGTTGACAGTATTTCTTCATCTCCACTTTTGTTTGGACTGTCCGTCCGTCCGTCCGAAGCTGTGAACGGCTATTTATGGTTGTGAAAATGCAATTCGTTACCACAACAATTCCAGTACGGTCTAGTCTCTGCCTGCTATTGTTATGGCTCTTTGCAATGCAATTGACTCCTCTCATTGATGGACTGGTTATGTGTGGGGGACCCAATGGCAGGATAGATGGACGGATGGATGGATGAATAACATTGGCTACATGAATTATTATTGTTAACTTTTTGTCTATGAGTTAAGTCTTGAGGACTGAACGGGTTTGCTTGTTGTTCTTGTTAACTGTAGCTGTGAAGTTTGCTTTCAGATAACCGTATTGAAAGACAAGATGCAATTTTGTCGACTATTAAAATGCAAGCTGAAGAAAAATGAAACAACTGACATGCTACCGTTTTGTCAACAAAGCGTCAACATCGGACAGTGAGCTGAAATGGGAAGATGGACAGATAAAGAAGAGGGAATTCAGTTAAAAGAGGAGTATTTACTGTGAGTATGCGATCCTTCAAAAGTGTATTTATTAAAAAATATTTTTTCAGACCCCAACATTCAACATATAAATGTGGATTCAGACCTTTAAACGTGGATTTAAAGAAAATATCGTTTTATACCCCAAACTCTAACCTTCAAACTTAGATTTACTCCTTCAAACATGAATTTTTAAAAAATATCGTTTCATACCCCCAACATCCAACCTTCAAACTTAAGTTCAGTCCTTCAGACGCAGATTTTTTGAAGAATATTTTTTTCATACACCTGCATGTAACCCCAACTTAAGACCATCAAACGTGGATTTTTAAAGAACATCAGATCTTCAAACATCGATTTTTAAGGAATATTTTTTCAGGAAACATAAACCTTCAGACGTACATTTAAAAAAAAATCCTCTGCTCATACCCCAACATCAGACCTTCAAATCTGGATTTTTTAAAGCATAGTTTTTAACCCAACATCAGATAATTAAAGGTGGATTTTTTAAAATTTTTTTAGCGCAACATCAGACCTTCTGCCTTTGCTTTTTTAAAGAATATTTTTTCAGGCAACATCAGACCTTCAAATATGGATTTTTAAGCAACAAACGTCGATTTCTTAAAGAATATTTTTTCATGTAACGTCAGAATCTTAAACATGGATTTTTTAAAGAATATGTTTCCAGGCAACATCAGACCTTCAAACATGGATTTTTGAGCAACAGACCTTCAAGCATGGATTTTTAAGGAATATTTTTTTCAGGGAACTTCAGACCTTCAAACGTGAATATTTTAAAGAATATTTTTCGAGGCAATATCAGACTCTCAAATGTGTTTTTCACGCAATATTTTTTCAGGCAACATCAAACCTTCAAACATGGAATTTTTAAACAAAGTTTGCTCAACTCAAATATCAAATTTTCCAATGTAGACTTTTTAAGGATAATTTGCTCAAACCCCAACCTCAGACCTTCAAACTTGAATTTTTTAACGAAAAATTTCTCATGCCTCAATATCATACCTTTTCCATACATCAACATCCAACCTTCAAAGGTGGATTTTTAAACAGGTTTTTTATGCCTCAACATTCGACCTTCAAACGTGAACGGGAACATACCCCTTCAAACGTGGATTTTTTACAGAAAAATTTTTGAGGGAACAATAACATT